GTATGTGCGTCAAGTCCATCTGATGTAATTCATGATGAACTGAATGAGAGCCAAGCCTGTGCAGGGGGAACCTGCAAGTTTGGATGTATTTTTTTTGGCCAAGGGTTCGAATTTATGCCTTGAAGCCTTACCCCGAAACCTTGCGGCCAGGATTTAAGGATTTTGGGCGTAGGCTTTAAGCTTAGCCCCAAACCTTGTGGCCAGGATTTAGGGCTTTTGTGTCCAGGTTTAGGGTCTACGCCGTTATGCGCAAACCTTCAGAGAAACGACTCATCCATAGGAACTGCACTCACGTGGCTTCTTTGCCCACCCGCGGTTCGACAACCACGGCACGGCCCCTGCTTCATCTGAGGGCGCCTGAGATTCATCAGGCTCCGGGCGAAGTTTGCGAATCGCTTCAGGTAAGGCTTGCACGCTACGATTCTGATACGGTCGCCGCGTACTTCTTGGTGTGTTTGCCTGATTTTTTGGTTGTGAACGCCTTGCACCAGACCTTGTTGAGCGGCTTGGATTTGTTCAGCTTTCGCAGCTCCACAGTCACCTCCCTGAGTTTGGCTGTTGCTGGATGAGGGTTGCTGTCAATTCGATGACCTGTCTCGTGACAGCAGAAGCAACGATGAATCTGCTTACCTTGAGCACATGCAGGAGGTTTCTTCTGAGTCAGCTTTGACTTGATGGAAAAGTCGTTTTCTCGCCAAGATGGCTGCGTTTGGTCACATGATGCAACATGTTTTTAGACTGGCAAAGGTGTGGTACGGACTGCAAGCGTCGGAAGGGGCTGGAGTTCTATTTCTTTTCGCAGAGCTTTTAGAGTGCTCACAGGCAGTAAAAGACAATGACCAGAAGAGTTGCGGTTGATCCAAACTCATAACCCGTATGCCGTGGGTTCACCATCATCCGCCAGGCTGAGTAACCTGAGCTGAGCAGTGTTGTTTTTTGTTCACGGGCTTTTAAGGCTTAGAGTTCAAAGCGTAAGTCTCCGTCTGAAACTTGCACGGTTCAGGTACAAAAGCCTAGTTGTATGGTGTTGGGCTTTACGGTTCAGGGTCAAAGGATGGATTTGTAGGGTGTAGGACCGCAGTTGTCGTGTTCTAGCCCTCAAGACAAACACTTCATATGGGGGCAACGGCTCCTGGACGTCAAGTCTGACATACGTAGGCATCTTGAAGGAAAAGGGTCAGCGTGCTCGGGCATAGCAGGGTTTTTTCACTGGCTTACATGGCGCTCAGTCGCTTGGCGCCTCAGTTATGCGTCGTAGTGCATCATTCTTTAGCGGTCAACTGGGTGGACGTCAGCCGAGACCAACTAGGCAGCGACTTTATCTTAGTCGGATCACCTGGGGTTGACACATGGGGGGTAGCTATGTCCGACGTCATGGAATTGTGTCCGCCCCATGGGCCTAGACGTCCTCTTGACGTCAAGGACTACATGTTTTTGTCAGGGGTCGCAGCAAGTCGCCTGGGTTGGCGGCCTGTTGAACTCATTTGCCCTATGGGGTGGACGTACAGGATTGACCAGCCAGTAATGGTGGACTTGAAATTCTAACTGCCTGCCATCCATTCAGTCAGAAATCGACCCAAGCCGACATGGGCCTTGATGGCTCTTCTTGATTCGCCTGATGCCGCACAGGCCAGGCAAGAAGGGCTTTCCAAGTTGTCTCCGCGCCGAGACAGAATTCAAGCCGCTGCCGAGCGCGTAGACTTCGCTGCCGAAGTCAGTGATAGCATGCGCCGGCCACCCCGTGAGAGGTTGGTCGGCTGAAACACCTTCAGACTCTCCTGAGCAGTAGGCATGACGAACTACAGCGCATTCATGCAGTCCTGCCTAACGGAGGTGCGTTGGTCAAGCACGCAGCCGCTCCTTTCTGTCCTGAGGCTCTTGTAGGCCACGACTCCAAGGCACAGGAGAGCTGCGTCTGACTGTTTATGTCGACGTTGACTTAGCTGGACAAAGTAATTCAAACTCACAGGTTACCTAGTACTGAGAGGTCCCCGTACCTTCCTTCCTTTAGCGTCAAACATTATCCAAGAAAAGTTACGGCTACAGCCCGAAGCTGAGCCGCATTTCTCGCACTTGCGGTGAACCTTGGTTCAATTTTGAAGTACAAAGGCACTTCCTCCACAGAAGCTGGACAAACCCTTAAGCTTTCAGGCATCTGCTAGCAGCAGCTGCCGGAAGTCCTTGGGGCCTGCTCATAGCTTCATGTCAAGACTGAGAGAGTTTGCGAGTGAACATGTTTTGCTGATGGTTCCAATCTGTATGCCCGCAAGGCATGACAAGTTGACACAATCACATTTTGACTCAAGAAAACAAGCCGCAACAACAGGTTCGCTGACGACAAGCTTGTTTGATCGGGCTGGAGGTTCACCTTGCCCCTTCCTGCCGCTGGTTCTCCTTCGGGTTTCCGGGTTTCTGTCTCGGTTGATTGTGTTGCTACTTTTTTTGCTCTGATGCAGGGTTGCATCTACACATTGGCCCCCCTGCAACAAGTAGCAAGAACACAGCAACCGATTTTTGTGCATGGAGTCCATGATTCTGATGCACAGTTCTCCGTGTGAGATCCAAAATGAAAAGCTCACACACGCACACCAGATGCAAGGTCAAAACTTGTTGTCATATTGATTTTTTGTTGTAAAAGATGCGTTGTCAGGTTGTCCAGCTATGTTTTTTGTTGAGCAGTCTTTTTTAACAGATGGTCTCTTGAAGAATAGTCAACAGAACACGTGAGGACACAAGAATACTTCCATAAGCAAAGACTGAGAATGGTCAAGTGGTCACTGGTCAAGTGGTCTCCAGGCTCATTGCAATGCACCCGGAATGTCAGATGGTGAAATCTAACTTGCAATCCCAGCAGTATCACTTCCCACCTTTGGCATGAAGTAGTTTGGTTGCGAGCAGTATGCCAAAAGTGCTGCACGCCCCTGCTATCCTCTCCGGCACACTGCAGCAAATCTACGGACGCTTAGGATTGCATGCTCGCTGCTATTGTTACTTTCTACATTGCGTCTTTGCATGCATGACCTTTTTGGTTTCTGTGCCTTGATTGGTGCTTGCTCTAGGCGTCCTACGCGTATGCTGCATAACGACCCATTGCCTTTGACGAGGGTGTACAGCTGTCACATCTCACACTGTCGCCATTGCTTTTGCCCGCTGACGCTGCCATGCTGCGGTTGTTGCTGTTGTTGCTTCTGCTTCTGCTTCTGCTGCTGCTGCTGCTGCTGCTGCTGCTGCTGCTGCTGCGTCTTTCCGCGATGCATCCAAACCTGCGCGTTTCTCATCATGCGGATGTGTCCGTTTGCTGAGGCTGCAGCTGCGATTCTTTGTGCTGCAACTATCGGCGCTGTGGCCGTCTCGAGGCACTTCAAAAGAGGCGAGCAACTCACAGATTCCCTGGTCAGTCGCTGATTGCAAGAATTCTGTGTTGGAGGTGAAGAGAGCGATGATGAATCGTTGGCAACATCCAGGCCATGATTTGATTTTGAATGACTTTTCGTGATTTTATCCCTTGGATTGCGTCTGCCTGGTCTTCCTTGCAGAGCTGAGGCCTTACTCGCAGAAGGACTTCAAGGATCCAGAGCTTGGGCTCGGGTACGAGAACTTGTTGGCCTCGCCTGGGGGCTCCTTTGCATCTTCCTACTCAGGCATGGGTTCTGCAGCACTCGTCGTCAGCAGCAGGTGTAGATTTTATGTTCGAGGGAGGACGCATTCAAACATGGTGTTTGTTTGCACGGTGCCACTTGGCCGGCGTAGCCTGCTAACGGTCCGTTGCTTCCTGTTCCAGCTACGGCTGCAGGTCAACGGGGTCTGATTCAAGCGCCTGGCGTAAAGTCGCCTGGTTTCGCCAGCGCCCCAGGGCTGGAATCCTGATATTCCTGTCCCCCAAGCTGACCAGGACTGGACACTGCTGCTTTGATGGTGCCAAGCACCTTAAGATATCTGCATGTCGGCAGTCAGCCCAAGGTTCATTCTACCTACCACCGGGCACTTTGAGCTCCTTGGCAGCGGTACCTCAGAGAAGCGCAGACATTTCAGCTCGTTGTTTTTTCAGGTTTAAAAGAACCACAAGTGCCTCCGGTCAGTAAAGTCATCAGATGCGCTCGAGACCCAGCCGACAGGAAGCACAATCTTGTTTCTAGCTTGATCCTGATGGTCCGAGGTTAGAAACCTTGCAGCATGTGCTCCTGAAATCTTGGAGCCGGCTAGCAAGCTGTAGTGATGATGACACATTCTTTCTAGGAGACAAGGCATTGTACCAATTCCATAGCAGCGAGACTGTTAGATGGTATCTTGAGAGCAAAGGGTTCGGCAGCCGATCTACCGCAAGCACAATTCACTGACACTTAAGTGCGTCGGTGCAAGAAAAAGCGTATTGCACGTGGCCTGCTGTGAGTCAAGAACGGAGGCCATGATCCCTTACAGCCAGCAGAGTTCAGAATAGAATGGTTGCTGCCTCCCGGGGTTTGTATATGTGACAGATTTTGGCCAAATTCGGCGGGTAGCTGCTTTCAAAATTGATGTCCTACAGCGTGATATGCCATGAGGGAAGCTGCGCACATTGCGCACGTGGTTGGATTGCGAGGCAAGCAGACTTGAAAAAACAAGGACAAACTCATGGATGCTTGACCCAAAAGGTCTTCGCGAGTCCTTTAAAACTCCCTAATTAATGCTTGATAATCCCCGATGCCCAACAACACTGTCTCAAAGCGTTTGTGGCAGTTTGTGGAAATCAGAGATCACTAATGATGGTCTTGTTGCCCCAACAATTGTTAATCCCCTTTACTCGTCCCTACGAATCCCTACATTCCCCCACAGTCTCTTTCAAATGTCCCTAGCAACGCCTACAGACCCCTCATTATCCTGAATACTCCAAATGATTCCCAGCAGTCCCTCATGGTCCGTGATAATTCCTAATTACCCCGAACAATCCCTACCAGTCCTAGCAAACGAGGAATGATAAGCTCACTCCCAACGCGTTTCTGACAAATTTGCGTGTCCTTCAGGATTGGCGCGAATGTGTGCTTGATGCCTCCGAGGCAGGTGAGCATTCCAGAGTAGCTTCATGTATGCGTCACAACCCCCCGAGCTCCTCAAATTTCAACCCTTCTTCAGCTGGGCCGATTATGGGTGAGAATTGTGCAAAATGAGCCTTGGTCCTTGGTGTTTCAAGCTGACTTTCTAGAAGTCAACGCCAGCGTTTGTTTCAATGGGTCGTTGCAACTACAAGTACAGTAGACTGCCATGGGGGTTACTTGTTGAGACTTTGCCACTGCTATGATCTGCTATGATTTGTTTTCAAACTACGGCCGTTTTTTGAAGGCAAGTGGACTTGCTGGGCACATCCTTTTGGCTATGTTAGCGGATTGAGGGCTTATGACGTCGTATTACCATTACTTGGCACCGTGAACCTCTACACTTGTGGCACCAGCCTGCAACGCTGAAAAGGTGAGAATCCAATCAGTTTCTTACAATTTGCTGAGTGTTGCTCTGAGGCATTGAGGTTTGAGCCCATGCACCACAAGGCGAAATGCTTTAGCTTCATCGTCGTCAATCGACTTGCGCTGACTTGCAAGGCCGTCTTGCGCCGTGGCTTTGCTCTTGCACGCATGAAGCGATGGGCCAGAGACCCGACCCACGCATAATTTGCTTGGCAAAACGCTCATGGCAGATGATACGTATTACCCGCAGGGACCTGCATCTAAAGACCTGGAGCATGCTGTCAACGCTGATCCGGGTGACAAGAAGGCTTATGTTGTCATGTTTGCTGCGTGTTTAGGCATTGCAAGCATTTGCACTGAAGCTATTCGGGAGTTCAGAAAGGCCGTTGCCGAGTTGCAAATGGTGCGTCGAATGCTGGCGGAACAGGCTAAGGCAACGATTTCAATTCAATACACTGTCTTTTGTTTCGACGTTTCCTGCCTGCTGAATCAGGACGCCCGCGCCCATGCTAAGTGTGTCATGAGCGATAGCACACGTTCGGCAGCCATGCCGACGAGAAAGCTCACGCCCTAGTTGAAACGCAGGTTTGCGTCTTCAGTTGCATGATTTTGTCCTGCAGGTCCTGCTGAGCCGCTAAATACCAATGACCCAACATGGTTGCTTCCAGACCGTTCATCAGCAAGCAGTCGATTTTCCAATCCGTCTAAGCAGACCCCCAAAAAGGTGGAGGACACATGCAAGCTTTGCGTTAGGCTCGTCGTGAAAGTCAGGGCAAAGCCTACGAAGCTCAAGGAAGCAATGCAGGCGGGGGATCGAAGCGCCTTTGCCGCTTCGGTGTACCTGCGATCTGAAGGAAGTGGAGCCGGCAAAGCCAGAGGTAACCTGTCGTGAACGACTTTTCAGCAGATTTGATGCCTTTACGTGTGTACCTCCTCTTGCCGTTCATACGAACCATTCACGACTACAGCCTGCGACAGGCGGTTCCTCCAGGTGTACTAGAACCTTCTGGACGGCTTACACGTTGCAGCTGAAGGCGAGCCTGAAAAATGCTTTACTTATGTGCCAGGCCCTGCCACAGTGCCCTCTCCTTCGCCTTCAACTCGGACATACGTTCCCCGCAGTGTGCGTGTGCCGGGCATGTTCTGCTCCGTGTCGAGGTGATGTGTGTTTGCTATAATTTTGCAATGATGCTCAGAGGAATGCGTCGGCAGCCAATTACGGAGGCTCCCAGCAGTAGTGTTGAATCTTGGGCTCCAAATGATTTGCTCAGGCAGGCCTCAGTGGCCGTCAAGGCCTGGTATGGTTGAAGCGGGAATCACAAGGCCGTTCTGTGAAATCTTTTGCAGTTGCATCTGGGAGATCTATGAGTTTCTACCAGTTTGAGGCAAGGACTCAGTTGCTGCTTGTCCTTGGCAAGTAAGCCCTTGGAAAGCCAGGCGCAGTGGGCTCGCAGTTTGCGCCGTCCTTGGCGGGGGCATGATCGACTGAACGTGAAATGATGTTGGGTGCGATGTGGGCAGGGGATTGGGAAGAGCAGATTGCACAGATCGCTGCTGATGTTGGTGATGCTATCTGCTATCTTTTTTTTTTTGAGCAGCATTCCGACCATCAGCTACTGGCCTGTGCGGCCAAACAAAGTCGACGTCCAGCAAAGCAAGGGAAAGGCGAGCTAGTTCCCTGATGGTTGAATAGGGCCCAAACATGCCCAAACACTCATGAAGTCCGATTTTTGCCCGCTCTCAAAACTGCATGCGGGACAATCTTTTCTGACTTCCATGTGTATCGGGTGTAGCCGAGTTTCGGAAGGGCTGAGCGGTGTTTCCTTTTTTTAATATGCGTGGGATCTAATTATCCAGGTTCACGAGGTTTCCTTTCATGTGGGTCAGCGAGGGTGGGGTTTTCAAGGTTTGCCTTCATGTAGAGCCTGACGAGCGAGGTTTTTCAGTGTTTCGGAGGCTTTTGTATACCACTGTACATGCGCCAAACCTTGCACCAGTCTTCAACATGCATTTTTGTTTTTTCCTGAAAGCTGAAGCCATGCATGTTTTTGCATTCATGTTTCGGGCGGTTTTGGTTTTCTAATTTTCAAGAATGCAGAGGGCGCAGGGAAAGTTGAAGAGTATTGCGCCAGTGAAGACCTGTCATGATCGGCATGCACATGTTCCGTTCTGCACCTCAAAGCAAAGATCAGTTGCAGTACATGAGTGGACATCGTGCACCCTAAATTCGGAATCTCTGGCGAAGAACACCGAGTCGAGTCTCAACTGTGTTGACCGTGCTGTTTTCAAAGTCGTGTCGCCTTCTGTGTCTCCAGTTTTTCCCTTTCGGAAGTTTGGTTCCTGATGGTTCCTTTCTGGTCCTCCATATAGAGTTGGTGACGGTGGGGTTCGCAGGAGTTTCGGAGGCTCGTGTCTCTCATCGTCTCCCTTCGTGTGACCTGGCGTGGACGGGCCTGTCTTCTTTTGTTGCCCTTGTCGGGTGCGGCTGCTGTGGCTGGAGCCTTTTCTGTTTCACCAAGCTTGATCCGCTTTTGTTTTTCATTTCGAATACCCCACGTTCGTGGATCCTTCCTGGATTTCGGCTTAGAATAATAGACAGATGAACGCAGGAAATCTTGCAGGGTCACAGACGTGTCTAACAATCAACAAGAATGTACAGTAGAAGCAAATCAGATCGTGCCCTCGCGTCGTTCCTAAGGGTGCGCTCAGCAAAGAACCCCGCTGCCATGACACAGCTAGCAGATGCCAGCAGTTTATAGTCTGAGACTCTGCGTGGCTGGATGATCCAATCAGCATCCCGAGGCCGCGCGAACGGAATGCCTTACTGCGAAAACTGGGCGCAGCTTCTCTTCCAGTGCGGGCAGCATCATGTTCGATGCTGTTGCTCGAGAGAGAGACCTGTCCGAGGCACTCTTTCGAGAGTCTCTGGATTCAGAGCTGGTCGCATCTATCGTAGAGGCCAAGCGTGCAATTAGGGTGGTGGCCGTGCGGAGAGAGTCCAGCAGGCATTGGACATCGATCTCAGTGAAGGCCAGCTGCGCCTCGTGTAACATGTTTTTTTTTTTAAGCATGCACGTCATTTTGCACACAGAGGACAGGCTCCTTCGTCACAGTTTGCCATCGAGGTTCTTGGGGCGCTCTCGAGGATCTTGCGCTGCTTCGGCACCGTCGTCTTTCTCATTCTTGGCCCTGTGCAGGACCCTTCGGTTTGAGCTGAGCCTGCAGAGCCTCACTGCAAGCGAGCGCGACAAGCTGGATGAGGTGATGTTGTCGTTGGCGCACCTTAGCTGCATTTTGGCCCTAAGACGTCTGGCATGGAAGGTGCTCAAAACGCTTCGCGCAAATGCTTCGCCGCAGGCGAAGCATGTTAGTTATCCCTTGCCTTCCGCTGCTTCATGGTGCAGAAAAAGCTCCAGGAGATGGCCCAGCTTGATGAAGCCTACAGGCCTGCGTGCGGCTTCTGTAAACAGGAAATGCTGTAAATAGCAGTGAACATGTGCATGGCGGCTGTCATACTCGGACAAAGAAGCACGCAAAAGACAGTCGTCAAATCCCAAAGCATGCCTAGTACAAGCAGTAACCATAAAATTTAACCAGGGAAGTACCAGCAAAAGAAATAGAAGTATACCTAAAAACAAAAGTCGTCGTGGCTCTTCACGAGTTTGAGCGAATATCGTGCATCGCCCCTGCGTACTTATTGCCAAATGATAGGCCGAAAAGTCAAAAAATGCACGTTGTGCGAAAAGTGTTACTTTTTGACTTCTTCAACGAGAAATCGAAAAGTTAACTTTAAAAAGCAATCTGCCCGAAAAGTCGAAAAGCGCAACTTCGTTTGCGAAAAGTTTTACTTTTCATTTGTTGCCCGAAAAGTCGAAAAGTGATTTTTGCGCAAACTGACTGCCTCTCTGACTTTTTGAACAAAATTTTTGCTTTCTCCGGCTGCGCAAAGCCACGGCCCGTGGCGAGCTTAGTGTAGAGCGTCGTAGAATGTTGTAGAGCAACTTGCGGTTGTCAATGCCCCTTGTTTTTCCGCTTGCACTTGGGCATCTGGATTTTCGGTTTGTATTTGCATTCTTGTGCTCGAAGCAGCCTAAAGTACTGGTATTGGTATTTACAATACATTTGGCCGTTGGTACGTTTTCTAAAAGTCTGCTTTTGCTTGATCTTTTATAGCTTTGTTTTTGCTCTCCGACGAATTCACTGGTATTTGTAGGGTTTCGTAGCTTTTTACAAGTTCAGGCTTTTTGGCTCACACCGTGCTTTTGGATTTTTTTGGAGGGGTGAAGGGGGGGTGGGGGGTTGGGGCGGGGTAAGGGGGTGTGGTTGTGAGGGGGGTGGGGGGGGTATGGGGATGGGTGGGCGGGGCGCATGGGTTTAGGGTTGGGGTGGGTTGCGGGGGAATTACGCTGATAACGACTTTAGGCACAGCAAGCTCCGAAGGAAATCCTCACGCACCTTTGCAAACCCCACTTCTTAACATGTTTTGGAACAAGTCTCATTCAGACTTGAAGGATTAGCAAAGATGCCCAATGGTATTCATATTTTCTGGGCATTCAGCAATGTGACCTCCCAGGGGCCTTTGCCTTAGCTCGATGCTCTCCACTCTTACGGGCGCTTCAAGCTTCGTTCCTTGTCAGGTTTCTTCGCACCAGCAGCCACCTTCCGCAAGCGACGGATTTCTGCAGCAGCCCAGGAAGTGCAAGTCTCCAGTAGGTTCACTTTCTGGCCACAAGCGCGACAAGGTTGCAACTTCTGGTTGTCGGCGCAAAGCTTTCCCATGGCTTGATCAACAAAAAAACAGTGTTTTTGCAGTGTTCTCTGCCTCCCTGCGAAGTGTGAGTCTGTCTGAAATGCATGTTTTGAGAAAAGCACGCAGAGCCCGAAACACTGCGTGGATCACGGATTTTGAGTCTTGCAATCATGACTTGCCCAAAAAACATTGAAAATCCTGACGGCGAACTTTGCCCATTGTTCAAGTAAGCCCCATTCCGAAGAGTTGCGTTTTGCACTATTTTCCTACGTTTGGATTTACGGGGCAGCCAGAACAACGGATCGTCAAATAGATAAAGCGCACGTACTACTGCTAGTAGTAGTAGTAGTAGTAGTAGTAATAGTAGTAGTAGTAGTAGTAGTAGTAGTAGTAGTACTAAGCGCCACGAGTGCTCAAAAGAGGGGACTGGGGTGATCATGCCATGGCTTTCATTGCGAGCCCTGCTGAACACGTGCTGATTGTGGTTCGAGAAAGAATCACGGAACAGTTGGCATAGGAGGGTCACTCAGAGAACACGCTTGTGCAAGCGGACCAGCTCGCTCAAGGTCTTTGGATTGGCCGTACTGTGGATTTGATTTTAGGTGAAGTGAAGGATATTCTGCCTAGGAGTGAGTTCCCGGGAGTTTTGGCTTTTTGCTGCAACCATTATCCTATCTTGTACACTTCTCTGCCATCTGAGATCACTGGAAGAAATGTTCAGCAGATTTCGTGGTCTATCAACAATTCCGAACAGAGTATGCAGCATGTATCATGGCCTCAGCACGTCCCCTGCACACCTCGATTGCATGCTTGAGTTTGCAAGTAATGCCGCACGCGGCGGTGCAGGCGTGAGGGTCGGATCCCCTACCCAGAGGGATCCAGGAGGTGCGGAGCCAACCGCACCGAAGCCATGGGTGAGTGTTTCCCGTGGAAGTGTTAATGGTCGCAGTGTGTGCCAAAAAATCTCAGATCGCTCGGACTTATGTCCGCAGACAGCAAGGCTTTTCTTTTGGTTTTACGGGGGCACGTTGAGGGCTGCGTTAGGAGTTCGCTCTTTGATACGCCGCAGTACTCTTATAGACCTGGAATGGACACCAACAACGCCATCTTGAGAGCTGTGTGCCATTGTAGAGCAGTCAGACAACTGCCACGACAAGCCATCCGCAATCGTACGTCTAGAATCATGGGCGCACTTCCGCCCGAGCTACATGGAGGCCTACTGATCAGTCTCGACATGTATAAAGCGTTTGACAGCGTGCCGCGTAAGGAGCTTTTCATGGCAATGCTGGAAGCCAATGTAGAGGGGAACATGGCTCGGTTGATCATGCAGGTGCATTTACAAACCATTCGCCGGGTACGTCATGCTGGTCAAGAGGGCTCATGTGGCATGTCTAGGGGTCTACGTCAAGGCTGTCCCATAGCACCGATACTGTATGCGGCTTGGTCAGGCAGAATGTGTCGGAAGCTTATGTCCAAACTTGGAACTCGGTGGTGCAGTACGCGTCTCAGCATGTTTGCGGATGACGTTTTGGGCTTCTGGGAGCTTCCTTCAATTGATTCGTTGAAAAGGGCCATGAGTGACTTGGGCATCGTTTTGCAAACACTCCAAGAATCGGGCGTGACTATTAATGCGGAGAAATCTGCTGCTATACTGGGTCTAACTGGCGCTAAGAAGGCTCGCTGTATGAGGGCATACGCGGAGCTTGCAAAGCAGCGCTTGCGCCTCAAAGTTGAGAACCTGGAGACAGTCGCTCATAGTCCACTGGTTGAGGTCATTCCATATCTGGGAGTGCAGCTTTCCTATGGCTTGTTTGAGTCTCAGACTGTGCAGCATAGGATTGACAAAGCGGTTGCAAGATTTAACACGTTCGCACCAACAGCAAATTCAGCGCTCGTAACAGGGTTCGTATTTACAAATGTTGTGTGTGGGCTTCGCTGCGGTATGGTCTGTTTCCCATAGGACTGAATCAGGCCGGCTTCAACCGAATCATTGCCACAGTTTGTTCTCAGCTTCGCAAGGTTCTACGCATTCATGAACATGGAGTTTCCAATCAACAAATTCTTCAGCAGGCCGATCTAAATCCTCTGCAGTTCCTCCTGGAAAGTGGCGAGAAGCTGATTGAGCGCGTAGATTCGGACACGTCTAGGTCATGGGAGACCTTGTACATCGAGAAGACGGTTGCGGAGGAGAACCTCAAGGTCTTGCAGGCAGTATGCAGCGAGCAGCCGCGCTCTAATCTTGTAGAAGCTGATCCCTTTTCAGTCGCCGGAGGGTATGTGTGCTCTACATGTGGATTGGCTTTTGCGAGCGAGGAAGGCAGAACGATGCGCATCAAGCGCAAACACACCGAGGTGCACTTGCAGGCCGGCGTGGAATTTAATCGTGGTCTTCACTCCCTGTTTGGGCATCTGTTTGTAGACTATGTCGCAGGCACATGTTCGACTGGGGAGCGCTACGCAAACGCATCACGACAGGCGCGTGTCCCAGACTGAAGGAGGCGTATGCGCGCGGCGTCACACACGGGGAGCTTTTGTGTGAGGTCACGGAGCAGGAACGCCTGGATCCACCGAGCAGTCCCGCGCAGCTACCGGACATTCAGGACAATTGGCGAGTACGCAGCATGGATGGATGCGCCCATGTCCAATGTTTTACAGGACTCAGAACTTCATCAGCGCCTTCGTTCAGGATGTGCCATCTGCAAGCCACGGCTGATAGGCACTAATCGCGTTAAAACACATTGGAGGCTTTCTCACAAGGAGGCCTGGGACAAGGAAGTTTACGAGCCGTGTTCAGCAGTCCTTGTAAATTTTGCGGCAGTCGTGCCAAGGATGCCTCCGCTCACGCGCTTCAATGTCCTGTCATGTACCAGGTCTGTGCTATTCGCGAATTACACCATCTCAACAGCACGCGTACAGCGCGCCAGGAGTCAAAGCCTGTTCAGGATCGACAGAACAAGGAAGCGCCCCAGTACATGAGCTTGGATCTTTCCAAAACTCCCCTTGGCAGAGCGTTTGGGTGGTCTGGTGACAAGGTCGGCAAGTCGGCTTTGGCGACGGAGGCCGACAAGCAAGAACCACTTCGGCAGCGGCCTGCGGCCACTTCGGCGCTGCGCGTTGCCACTGTCAGGTCGGCCCTGCCCAGCATCACCACTGGATCAGTTCCGCCAAGCGCAACCACAGGAGAGGGAAGGATTGACACGCTTTCCATTCGACTTGAGAATCCCCATACGCTGTGCTATATCAATGCTAGCATCTTGGCTTTGTTACATGTCGGTGATGTACTCGGGCGAAGTGAGGACATTGTCTATGCTTTGCGGCAAGAGATCGAGGCAGAACACCGTCGATTCGGAATGGTCTGACTTACACAGCTCCGCTCCTTTGTGAGGCTGGCGTCAGGATGGGACACCGGTCCTAGACAACAAGACGCGGCGGAGTTCTCCAGTCATCTCCTTACAAGACTCGAGGGCCAGGGTCTTTGGCAATCCCGTGTTGAAGAGGTAGAGGGAGTTCGGGTGACCGACGTAGGTGCATTGATTTTCCTGCAACTGCCCACTTCGCCATCGACGCTTCAGGAGCTGATTGAGGCCTGGGCAGCATCACGTATTTGGACTTACGGGAGAATGGCCACGCATTCCGGTAGTTCTTGGAAGGTACGCTGGACGTTCGAAGAATCAGGCCAGAGTGCTATTTGATGGTGATGTGCTGCTTCCGGTTTTTGGGGAAGGTAGAGCTCTCAGACAGGCAAGATACCAAGTGGCTGCAGCGTTGGTTCATCTTGTGCTCGCTCAGATCTGCAGATGCTTGGTCTTACTCTGATGATGCAGTTCAAAGCGTTCGCGCAGGCTTACCAGAGAGCATGCCTGCAATGCCTATCTTCTCTGGCTGATTAAGCGTGGTGTGTAGTGGCGGAACCGCCATTCACTTAGCAATGGCTCTTTCTGAAGCTCCTGCTGCAATAGTCACTCCTTCTGAAGAGGAGTTCTTTTGGAAGACGTATATGCGGGCAGGGATTGCCAGCGCTGCCAGTGATGCGAATATGGATTCCAAACAAGACGGCGACTCTACTGCCGTGGGGGACTCAGCAAATGGTCACAAGGAGGACGACCGTGGTGGCAAGTGGGCCAGAGATCAAGGACAAAGGGGCAAGGGCCGCAACAGCGGCAGAGGCGGGGGCTCGTATACCCAGTACGAGAATCCAACAAAGAAGAAGGATCAACGCTGGGGCTATGGAGGCAGTGACTGGGGAAGCCAGGAGAAGGTCATTGCCGATCTGAAGCGTCAGATTCAGGCGCTGCAAAAGTGTACTCTCCGACGCGAGGACTCCATCCAGATCCTTCGACAGGAGGTTTCTTTTGTGGTGTTTCTGCGCGCTGGAGTGGATGCTTCCATTGTTGGTCCCCTTGCGGACGCCCGCGCGGCTTGGTCTCGCCAAAAAGAACAGAATCCACAGTCCCTTACAAAACCAATGCGCTCGACAATGTTTTCATGCTGGATGAACGAACTATTAGCGAGGGCCATTGGGCTGCCAAGCAAACCCGAGGCCCTCTAATGCCTGGGAACCTACACACAAAGAAAACCCAACTAACATATAATGGAGCGCCCCTGGGGGCCAAGCCTCCAAAAAGAACGGCTACAGTCATCCGAGCCTAGGCTCCAAGCAATGACCACGCCCTGTACAGCAATAACTACATATACAAAACCGGAGAGAAGTGTGAAAAGGCATCGGGAATGGATACCATCTGCGGGCTACCCGCATCACACGAGAGACCTGAGTGTCAGCAGCGCTTCTTGCGCGTTCCATCAGACAAGCAGGAGCGTATCGCCGGCAGCGACGAGACTTTTTCCATCAGCTTTACATAAAGCTTCTAAGCATGAAGCCCAGGCGTTGTAGCTGAGCGACCTCGTCATCACCCAATCTCCACATGTCTCTAATATGAAAATCAACAAGCACTGTTCGACATCCAGTCCAGGGCATTGCACGGTGAAGAACATGACCATTAAATGTGCCGCTTGGCTGAACTGAAATCGTGCGACCTTTGAGCCCGTCCTCCAAGACTACATCACCATCAGCATCCTCGAGCCAAAGATGACCTCCCTCCCAGCGTGAACAAGCTAGGACCAGATTCTCCGTGGCATCATCGTACGCTGACCCCTGTGAAACCTGGTTGTCATGTTCATCTGAAGAACACATGAGCTGAAAGGCCTGCCTGGAAAATAGGCACGGAGAAGAGCAGCGAGCAAAGCAGAGCACCATGGAAACTCCGTGACATGTTTACGAATTCTTGCATGGGGTCCATGAATGAAGGCTCCCGTGCCAAAACAGAAAGTAATTCTGTCACTGTGTCCGTATCTGTGATGCCCGTTCTTCTGATCCGGAAGTAGCCCCATTAGAACACCAATCTGACCAAAGCTAATGACGCCCTCGCCCATTGCAACGTTTGCCAGCTCGTCAGCCTTGCTCTGCGGTGGCCCAAGAAACCTATACTCAGATGCTTCCGCATGGAAAACAAGGCATGCCTCTGGATCACCATCTGTACCCGGAGAGCTGGGAGTAGCCGAAGAGTCTCCATAACCAGCCATTGAGAAGTTAGAGGGGCTATACGTCAAGGACGTAACGCAAAAGTCAGAGGCAGCGTCAGCATGAGTGGTATCATGAAGAAAGCCAGGCAAAGGCACCACGCATGGCTCCGGGGCCCATGCCGTCTCATCGAGATCAATCTCATCCACTGGAACTCTGGAAAGTACCCCTGCTGACCACATGCCGCTAGCCAAAAACTCAGGCGAATAGGCTCAGGTTGCGTGAGAAAGTTGGGAAGTCAAAACACAGGTAATTTCAGACCAGGACCAGGGACCTGACCATGGCATGTGTGGTAGCACCTGAATGTCAATAAAGCTCCCAGAATGCACATGTCCATGCCCACCGCGGCTTGCGTGCTGTAAATGAGAATGCTTTCTTGTGATTTTTGAAGTCCTGCGCAGGCTGTGTCCATTCCGTGTAGGTACAGAAAGATCCATCTCCGCATCGGGAGCGGGCATCCCCATAGGGCTGAGAGGAATGCAGCTAATTTCAGAAGCCCAAAGCTTAGCTTGCCAGATCCTTTGATATGGCAATAGCCAGGCCAGATCGCTGGCCTGAGCTGGCTCGACCACAGTTGTGCGACGGCCAGTCCACTCAAGGTATGCATGTGCTGGACCAAGCGATTCGCCGACTCACCCTTAAGTGCAAACTGAAGGATCACGGTGATGGCCTCGCCTTTTAACTCCGGCGTGAGCGGCCTCGTTGGGAAAAATCTCGTGACTGCAGTGGCATGCATAGAGCAGCGCAAAACGTCCTGAAGAGTCTCAACTGCCTGGGTCTGGGCGACCACAGCACGGCCCTCATCAGGGACCAAGGCCGTCGCTTCCTGGTCCCACTTCAGGCAGCGCCACCCCTGTCCTTCCGCATCCATCCACTTCAACTCGACAATCTCCTTCGCGCTGCGTGCCGCCGGCTCGAAGAGCTGCTGGGCTACGCTTGACCATCAACAGTGGCTGCGACTCCAGAGAGAGAGAGAGAGAAGAAGTAGTAGTAGTAGTAGTAGTAGTAGGAGTAGTAGTAGTAGTAGTAGTAGTAGTATGTGAGTGTGCATGAGTGCAT